GGACTTGAACTTGGGGCCTGGGCACTGTCCCTGAGCTTATTTTGCTCAAGGCTAACACTTTACTTGAGCCATTGTGCAACTTCCAGCCTATTCTGTTTATGTAGTACTGAGGAATTGAACCCAGGGCTTCATGCATGCTAGGCAAGCACTCTACCACTAAGCCACGTTCCTAGCCCCATGAGACTGGTTTTTTTTTTTTTTTTTTGGTCGGTCATGGGGCTTGAACTCTGGGCTTGGGCGCTGTCCCTGCGCTCTTCAGCTCAAGGCGAGCACTCTACCGCTTGAGCGCCACTTCCCAGTTTTCTGGTGGTTTATTGGAGATAAGAGTTTCATAGACTTTCCTGCCCAGACTGGCTTTGAACCACAATCCTCAGATCTCAGCCTCTTAGCTAGGATTACAGGCTTGAGCCACCAGTGCCCAGCCCATGAGACTCTATCTTCAATAAATTACTCAGAAAAAGCTGGAAGTGGCTCAGTAGCTCGTGGTAGAGTGCTCGCCTCGCCTTGAGCTGAAGAGCGCAGGGACTGCACCCAAGCCCAGTTCAAGTCCATGACCTACCAAAAAAAAAAAGAGTTTTATTAAGAAATTGTAGAAACCAGTGGCAGCAGAACCAACAACAACAACAAAAAAAATAGGGGACCCAGAAGTCACAACTTTTGCAACTTCCCAGATGAGAGTGTGCTGTTTTAGCCTCTGGCACACATTTCCTTTCTACCTACAAAAGCTGACTCTCTTGCCTATTTCCTTCCTAAGACTTCTCTACAACTGATAGCATGAACCCTTTGATGGCAATTTAGTTGCCTTTTTCTTTTTCTTTTTTAGTCTTTTATAGCTTTCCTCCCTGCTCCCCACCCCAGCTGAGGACTTAACTCAAGACCTTGTACTTGTCAGGCAAATGCTCTTCCACTGACCTAAATCCCCAACCCCTAACTGGGCAATTTAAAGCAGCTTCAATTCACATTTGTTAACTTTCCTACTAGTTAAAAGCATAGCTGGGCACTTGTGGCTCACACCTGTAATCCTTACTACTCAGGAGGCTAAAATCTTGAGGATTAGTTGAGTGAGCCTGGGTTTTGGGGGGGGATAAGGGGCAGTATAGGGTATGGATTCCACCCAGGGTCTTGCACTTATTAAGCAGGTATTCTATTCACTGAGTCACACCTCCAGCCCTTTTCATGTCTCCCACCCCCCCTCCCCCAGTCATGGGGCCTGGTCTTAGGCCTGGGTGCTGTCCCTCAGCTTTTCAGCTCAAGGCTAGCGCTCTACCACTTAAGCCACAGCGCCACGTCTGGCTTTTTCTGCTTATGTGGTGCTCAGAATTGAACCCAGGGTCTTACGCATGCAAGGCAAGCACTCTACCACTGAGCCATCTTTCCAGCCCTCATGGTTATTTGAGGTAGGGCTTCCTTGTGTCCTGCCTAGGTGCATGCTGGGATGATTTTAGACTATCACAGCTGGGATGACAGGCTTACACCACCACAATTTCTTCCACTGAAGTTTTGCAAACTTCTGATTTTGAACAGGATGAGTGGAATTGAAGATAAAAGACCAAATTGGGGTAGGAATGTGGTTCACTGAAATGCTTGGCATGATCAATTCCCAGGACTGAATTAGCCTTATGAGCTGGATGGTGGCACAAGCATGTAATCTTCATTTGGAAGGCTATGGCAGGATGGTTGCCGGATAACCTGAACTACACAGAAAGACCATGTCTTAAAAAGATCACTGAAATGGTCACACAAAAACAACTTGGAAGCCAGTACGGTACTGGTGGCTCAAGCCTGTAATCCTATCTACTCATGAAATAGAGATCCGAGGATTGCAGTTCAACGGGCAGGAAGGTCCTTTTTGAGACTATTATCTCCAATTAACCACCAGAAAGCCAGTGGTGCTGTAGCTCAAGTGGTAGAGCGCTCGCCTTGAGCTGAAGAGCTGAGGGACAGCGCCCAGGCCCAGAGTTCAGGCCCCACGGCCGACAAAAAAAAAAAAAAAAAAAAGACGCTTAGGGACAGTGCTCAGGCCCTGAGTTGAAGCCCAGGCGTGGCAAAAGAAAAAAAAAAAATTAAAAAAAATTGTATACTGACTGAGTAAATGAATCTACATTTAGGGTAATATATGTCTTTTTTTTCCTCTTGACATGGGTGAGAGAAATAAATGTTTTCATCATTCTTCCAGACTTTTACCAAAAGACTCTATTGTGTCCTTTATGTCTGTTATAAAAAAAACACTCCAGATTAAAGCCTTGTCACTAGAATAAATATGACAGCTCCTGATTTCATGTGCCATATAGGAAGCTTCTTTGTCAGAACACATTTGATAAAAGGGTTTTATAGCACTTCAAAATGCTTGAAAACTATTTTTGTATGTACCCTATGCCCCTCCAGTCTTCAGGTATGGATTTGGGTAGCGCTGCCTTCCTAATTGCAGTCCAATTTGATGCTAAAGGAAACCAGTTGTTTTGTTTTTGCTTTTTGCCAGTAATAGGACTTGAACTCAGGCCTAAATTCTGAACCTGTGCTTTTTCAATCAAAGCTGATGCTCTACCACTTTGAGACCCTTTTTTATTTTGGCTTGAACTTAGGGCCTAGATGCTGTCCCTAAGCCTCTATGTGCTTGAGGCTAGCGCTCTAGCACTGGAGCCACAATGCCACTTCTGGCTCTTTAGTGGTTAATTGGAGATTAGAGCCTCACGAGGACTTTTCTGGCTGGGCTGGCTTTGAACCGTGATCCTCAGAGCTCAGCCTCCTGAGTAGCTAGGATTACAGGCATGAGCTACCAATGCCCAGCTGTGAAACTGTTTTGTTGGGACTTGAACTTGGGGCCTGGGCACTGTCCCTGAGCTTATTTTGCTCAAGGCTAACACTTTACTTGAGCCATTGTGCAACTTCCAGCCTATTCTGTTTATGTAGTACTGAGGAATTGAACCCAGGGCTTCATGCATGCTAGGCAAGCACTCTACCACTAAGCCACGTTCCTAGCCCCATGAGACTGGTTTTTTTTTTTTTTTTTTGGTCGGTCATGGGGCTTGAACTCTGGGCTTGGGCGCTGTCCCTGCGCTCTTCAGCTCAAGGCGAGCACTCTACCGCTTGAGCGCCACTTCCCAGTTTTCTGGTGGTTTATTGGAGATAAGAGTTTCATAGACTTTCCTGCCCAGACTGGCTTTGAACCACAATCCTCAGATCTCAGCCTCTTAGCTAGGATTACAGGCTTGAGCCACCAGTGCCCAGCCCATGAGACTCTATCTTCAATAAATTACTCAGAAAAAGCTGGAAGTGGCTCAGTAGCTCGTGGTAGAGTGCTCGCCTCGCCTTGAGCTGAAGAGCGCAGGGACTGCACCCAAGCCCAGTTCAAGTCCATGACCTACCAAAAAAAAAAAGAGTTTTATTAAGAAATTGTAGAAACCAGTGGCAGCAGAACCAACAACAACAACAAAAAAAATAGGGGACCCAGAAGTCACAACTTTTGCAACTTCCCAGATGAGAGTGTGCTGTTTTAGCCTCTGGCACACATTTCCTTTCTACCTACAAAAGCTGACTCTCTTGCCTATTTCCTTCCTAAGACTTCTCTACAACTGATAGCATGAACCCTTTGATGGCAATTTAGTTGCCTTTTTCTTTTTCTTTTTTAGTCTTTTATAGCTTTCCTCCCTGCTCCCCACCCCAGCTGAGGACTTAACTCAAGACCTTGTACTTGTCAGGCAAATGCTCTTCCACTGACCTAAATCCCCAACCCCTAACTGGGCAATTTAAAGCAGCTTCAATTCACATTTGTTAACTTTCCTACTAGTTAAAAGCATAGCTGGGCACTTGTGGCTCACACCTGTAATCCTTACTACTCAGGAGGCTAAAATCTTGAGGATTAGTTGAGTGAGCCTGGGTTTTGGGGGGGGATAAGGGGCAGTATAGGGTATGGATTCCACCCAGGGTCTTGCACTTATTAAGCAGGTATTCTATTCACTGAGTCACACCTCCAGCCCTTTTCATGTCTCCCACCCCCCCTCCCCCAGTCATGGGGCCTGGTCTTAGGCCTGGGTGCTGTCCCTCAGCTTTTCAGCTCAAGGCTAGCGCTCTACCACTTAAGCCACAGCGCCACGTCTGGCTTTTTCTGCTTATGTGGTGCTCAGAATTGAACCCAGGGTCTTACGCATGCAAGGCAAGCACTCTACCACTGAGCCATCTTTCCAGCCCTCATGGTTATTTGAGGTAGGGCTTCCTTGTGTCCTGCCTAGGTGCATGCTGGGATGATTTTAGACTATCACAGCTGGGATGACAGGCTTACACCACCACAATTTCTTCCACTGAAGTTTTGCAAACTTCTGATTTTGAACAGGATGAGTGGAATTGAAGATAAAAGACCAAATTGGGGTAGGAATGTGGTTCACTGAAATGCTTGGCATGATCAATTCCCAGGACTGAATTAGCCTTATGAGCTGGATGGTGGCACAAGCATGTAATCTTCATTTGGAAGGCTATGGCAGGATGGTTGCCGGATAACCTGAACTACACAGAAAGACCATGTCTTAAAAAGATCACTGAAATGGTCACACAAAAACAACTTGGAAGCCAGTACGGTACTGGTGGCTCAAGCCTGTAATCCTATCTACTCATGAAATAGAGATCCGAGGATTGCAGTTCAACGGGCAGGAAGGTCCTTTTTGAGACTATTATCTCCAATTAACCACCAGAAAGCCAGTGGTGCTGTGGCTCAAGTGGTAGAACTCACCTTCAGCTGAAGAGCTCACGGACAGCGTCCAGAGTTCAGACCCCATAACCAACACAGACACAGATACACAGACACACAAAACAACTTGGAGGACTCACCCCAACAACTTAAGTCACCCATCAATTGACAAGAGCTTGATTCGGCTGGTTATTTGAAGGAAATTAAGTTCACACAGATACATGTCCAACAGATTTTTATTTTTTAAAGGAATGAATTAAGAAAAAAAAAAACCAAGGGGCACAGAAGTATGGAATAGAAAATAAATACAAACGTAAGCTGTTTTACTAATTGTTTTATAATCACAACAAACTAGTACAGAGAATGCCCTGTACAAAACACAATAAAGGTTCCAAGATTGAGGTGTTTCCTTAGCAAGGCTGAAGATTTCAGTCTCTGATATTTGGAATTTAGGCTGCAGTCCTTGTTTTTGGATGGATCACTGGGTGTGTGGCACAGTCCATGCTTTTAACCAGATTTGAACAGAAGGATGGCCACCTGACCCAGGTAGAAGTAGATGAAGTGTTTGGTTTCATGTGTCACATAACTACCGAAGTTTCTCCCCACGATGCAGTGCCAGGTGGGGTTGTACTTCTTGTCAAACTCCTGGAGAAGAAAAAAAAACAAAACAAAAAATTGTAGAAGAATTAACTAAAAGAGTTAACTTCAGGAAGCCACAGCCTGCAGGGAAAAAAGGAGAAATACTGGCATCTGCAAATGCTTACAATGAAAGATTGTTCCCCAGCTCCAAATCGCCTACATAGTCCATTGAGGCAAACATACTTGCAGTTTGAGCTAAGACAGAAATGGAGACTGAGGAGATAAGACGTATAAAGGACAGCCTCAAAGACAGGGCACTTTGTGATCATGATAATTACCCTTCCTACCTTATTCAGTAATATTCTCTGACAGCAGATGACAAACAGTTATGGTTTATCTTGTTCTTCTGGATAAAGAGAGCTAAACAATCCTCCCTTCTGATTTGCTATGCACCCCAAAATCAAAGAAAATGTCAAAAACTTGGCCCATTCCTTACCATGAAGATCTCAACTGCCCTCTTGCACTACTGAGAATAAGACTTCCTAAGAACAAAGCCTTAATTAGGACTGGGAAGGTGGCTCAGTGGTAGAGTGCTTGCCTTGCATGCATGAGGCCCTAGGTTTGGTTCCTCAGCACCACATAAGCAGAAAAAGCCAGAAGTGGCATTGTGGCTCAAGTGGTCGAGCTCTAGCCTTGAGCTGAAGAGCTGAGGGATGGTGCCCAGGCCCAGAGTTCAAGTCCCACAACTGATCCAAAAAAAAAAAGCCTTAATTAGTATTTAAACCAGCAACAACCCATCAATATTTAGATTTAAGGGGACAAGACCTTTAAGCAACGCCAGTACTCCTGTAAAAATAATGCTGGAAGCAGACTGACAGCTACCTGGCCAAACATTATCCTTTTTAAATAGTAGTCCTTTCCGTATCCATGCTAATGGTGCTTGGTGTTGAAAGTTAGCAGATTACAGGAACAACTTTTCTGTTTTTCCCACTGAGGGGTACTGACTGGGATTAGAAAACTTGCTTGAACTTTACCAGGTGAATGTGTAGGGAAGAATCAAAGATAATTTGTTAAAAAGCTCTTTTTAAAAGGGCCATTTTTCTTTCAAGCTGGATGCATGTACTGTGTCAAAAAAACAAACCCGGGGGGCTGGGAAGGTGGCTCAGTGGTAGAGTGCTTGCCTTGCATGCATGAGGCCCTGGGTTCGATTCCTCAGCACCACATAAGCAGAAAAAACTGGAAGTGGTGCTTGGCTCCAGTGGTAGAGCGCTAGCCTTGAGCTGAAATGCTGAGGGACAGCACCCAGGCCCAGAGTTCAGGCCCCATGACTGGAAAAAAAAAAAAAAAACAAACAAACCCGGGTGCCGGTGGCATAAGCCTGTAATCTTGGCTACTCCGGAGGCTGAAGTCTGAGAATTGCGGTTCGAAGCCAGCTCGGGCAGGTACAAGTCCGTAATCTCAAATTGACTTGGAGCCGTGGCTCAAGAGGTAGAGCAGCCAGCCTTGAATGAGCAGGAAGGGACAGCGCCCAGGCTAGAGTTCAAGCCCCACGACTGACACCTTCCCCGCCCCCAATCTTTTTTGTTTCTATGTCATTCTCCGTCGTGGGTCCTCCCGTCCTCTCCGGGGCCACCCCCCAGCATAGGCCGCCAGTTTGCTGCTCTTTCCAGCGAGCAGAGCTCAAGTTGGCAATCCTGCCAGGTCTCTACAAACTGTCACTTACCAGATCCCCGACCCCTCCGCCCCGCGGCCCGCGGGGAAGGCTGGCGAGGTCTCCGGGGCCCCGCGGGAGACGCCCACGCCGCTCCCCGCCCCCCCCACCCCGGAACACGCAGATGGATCCTCGGCGCAGGAACCTACACAAGGGGGGAACCGCTCGTTGCTCCCATCTTGGAAACCGTTGCTAGGTGGCGCTTTCCCCCATAGAGCTCGGTTTAAAAAAAAAAAACTTCGAGCGCAGAAGGGGTCAGCGCTTCCCGAGAGAAGCGCACAACTCACTGCGCGACCTTTCTAGAAAGCCTCTATGGCGCACAACCGCCCCCCTCGCCCTACCTCAAGAATCTGGCCTGGGGGGGGCCGGGGCCGCAGGGTCGGGGTGGGAGGGGAGAGAACTTGACGCCGCCCCCCGCCCGCGCCTCACCTTCTTGATGTGGGCCGCAATGTCCTTCTCTATGTTGTATTTCTCCAGCGCCTGGGTAGCGCACTCCACCGAGTCCTGTTGCATCTCTTCCGACATGTCCGCATTTTTGATCACCGCCTTTCGGTCGCACATGGTTACCTGAGGTGGGGGTGGGGGGGCGAGGCCCGGGCCGAGGCGTGAGGAGAGGGGTCCGGCCCGGCGCCGCCTCCCCACCACCCCCTCCCCGGACCCGCGCCATCTCCGGACGCCGCCCCCCCCCTCCCCACTTCAGAGATAGTGCGAAACCCCGCGGACCGCACAACTGGACGAAGCCGGGGGAGGGAGCCAGGCCCGACCAGCGTAGACCCCCCCACACACACACTCCCACCCCACCCCCGAGGCCCTCACCGGGTGGGCAGGGGCCGCCCGACTTCAACGGTCTCCGGAGGGAGCTGGCGTGCCTCAAGGTGAGGGAGAGATACGGCCGCTACCGAAGCCGTGGCGCATCTAAGCAGCCCCACGCCAGCCGCCGCCGCCTAGTGCCTAAGCCCCGCCCTGCCCCGTGCGCCACGCCCCCTCCGCCCGTCTCTATTGGCTTAGCGCAGCCCCCGGGATCATTCCATTGGCCTATGGATTCAATGGTTCCCTCAGGATCTTTCTCCTGCATTTTGTTGCGGACCATAATGCACCGCTCACGGCGTCTGTTGCCCCGGCAATGGGCCGCACGCGTCTAGGCCCACACCCAGAAGGTGGAGCCTGGACTGGGTCGTGAGGCCCACCCTGCTGTCTGCTGCGGCTGCGAAACGAGCTTTCCGCCCAAGGCAAGGAAACTGATTCTAAATCTACTGAGGCTTTTCCCGGGGTGTGCTCCGAACCACAGACTCAGGATGAGCCGGTCCTCCCCGAACACCTCTCGCCCACACCGGGAAAGGAAGATTTACCAACCCGACTGGTGACCGCTCCCTTTACAGAGGTGTGAAGCAGGGCCAGCTGCATTCGTCACCGGAAGAGTCTCAGGCTTGGCTTAATGTTCTGCTGTCTTTATCTTATTTTATTGACAGAATTTGTTGTGTATTCCAGGCAACCCTGGAGCTCGCTCTGTAGCTGAGGTGGGTCTTGAACTCAAGACCCTCCTGAATCTGCCCCTCATGTGCTGGGATTCGTTTTTCAGAAAGCCGCCCGCCCGCCCCTCACCCCCTTGGCGTGTTTATTTTATCCTGGACCCTCTCTCTGTGTAGCTGGTCCTGCTCTGAAACCTTTGGATGGGTGGAGATATCCTCAAGATTGAAAGAGGGCTTAGGAAAGGAAAGGAGAGTTTCCTTCTGATTTAAGCAGTTATTTTCAAGAATGGGAGTCATTCTGCCAGATTATGCAAAACTCAAAGGGAGTGGGGGCTCTGGGTACATTTAGGAACCTCAGGGTATGTAGGGAAGTCTGTTGGGTGTGGGAAAGTTTCTTGGTTGGGAACTTCTCTTGGGAGAAGGTATCCTGATGGACAAGAAGGTGGTCCTCAGGAGGAAAGCAAAAGAAAAAAATAGGGAGGATGGAGAGAAGACAAGAGAAGAAGAGGGCTAGAAATGTGGCTTAGTGGTAGAGAGCTTGCCTAGCATGCATGAAGTCCTGGGTTCTATTCCTCAGAAAAAGCCAGAAGTGGCACTATGGCTCAAGTGGTAGAGTGCTAGCCTTGAACAAAAAGAAAGCTCAGGGACGGTGCCCAGACTCAGAGTTCAAGCCTCATGACTGACCCCCCCCCCAAAAAAAAAAAAAAAAGAGAGAGAGAAGAGAAAGAAGAAAAAAGGAAAAGGAAAGCAAAAAAGAACACTAGGATCTTGAGTTAAGGGTATAGCTCAGTGGTTCTTGTCTGGCTTATACTAAGCCTTGAGTTGTATTCCCAGCACCACAAGATATAAAGCAACCACTCACAAGTCAGATGGAGATTTAAATTGCAGCATTGAATTCAGTTTGTTTTGATATGTGAAGCCAGACTAAGTGTAAAACAAAACCACTTCATAGGCTTGTGAAATAATCTCATGCTTTTTTAAAAGCTACTTTTTTTTTTTTTGGTCAGATCGTGGGGGCCTGAACTCTGGGCCTGGGCGCTGTCCCTCAGCTCTTCAGCTCAAGGCTAGCACTCTACCACTTGAGCCACAGCGCCACTTCCAGCTTTTTTCTTTTTGCTTATGTGGTGCTGAGGAATCGAACCCAGGGCCTCAGGCATGCAAGGAAAGCGCTCTACCACTGAGCCACCTTCCCAGCCCCTAAAGCTTCTTTTTATTTACTTAGTGCTAGTACTAGGGCTTGAACTCAGGGCTTCATACTTTGCTTAGCTTTTTCCACTTGTAGCTGGTACTCTACCACTTAAGTCACTTCTGATTTTATGTTTTAATAGTAATCTGTGGCACATAGTAAGTGCTCAGTGAACCTCAAATAATTACCAGTTTATGGAACTGTCCCAAGGGCCACAACCAAGGCTTTAAGCAATTAACTTTAATGCTTGTAATGGTTGTTGTTTTTTTTTTTTTCCAGTGCTGGGGCTTGACTCAGGGTCCTGGGGCTTGACTCAGCCACAGCACCATTTCAGCTTTTTCTGTGTATGTGGTACTGAGGAATCTAACCCAGGGCTTCATGCATGCTAGGCAAGCACTCTACCACTAAGTCACACTCTCATCCCCCGTCCCAAGGTTTTGTTGAGACTAGGCTAGCAACTCTACCACTTGAGCCACAATACAACTTTTCTGTTTATGTGGTACTGAGGAATCAAACCCAGGGCTTCATGCATGCTTAAGCAAGCATTCTACCACTAAGCCACATGCCTACTTTCCTATCCCCCTTCCCTGGAAGTTTTATATTTACATTTCTGCATTTTTTTTCTTCTGGGTCATCTACTTTTTTTTTTTTTTTTTTTGCCAGTCCTGGGGCTTGAACTCAAGGCCCTGGGCACATTCCCTGAACTTCTTTTGCTTAAGGCTAGCACTCTACCACTTGAGCCACAATGCCTCTCCTGGCTTTTTCTGTTTATGGTACTGAGGAATAGAACCCAGGGCTTCATGCATGCTGGTCAAGCACTCTACCACTAAGCCACCTTCCCAGTCCTGGGTCATCTACGTTTATTAACCCAAGGTTCCTTCACCAATATGCCTAGAGGTACACAACTCCAAAGAGAAAAAGACAGGAAAAATGAAAACCTCAGACACAATTAGTACATATCAATTAACTCGAATTGAAAAAGATTTTTCCAATAAATAAGTACAATAAAAAGTAGGAGGACTTAATTTTCCTGTGTTATCAGGCCTGAGGGAGAAGTAGGGGTGACAAGTGAGGCTGGCTTGGTGGCACTAAGATTCAAAATTATGAAATCTTATGATGTTAGAACACAAACTTTTTTTTTTTTTGGTGCCAATACTGGGGCTTGAACTCAGGGCCTACAGCATTTACTGGGCTTTTCTTTTTTTTTTTTTTTTTTTTTGTCAGTCATGGGGCTTGAACTCTGGGCCTGGGCGCTGTCCCTCAGCTCTTCAGCTCAAGGCGAGCACTACCACTTGAGCTACAGCGCCACTTCCTGTTTTCTAGTGGTTTATTGGAGATAGGAGTCTCAGGGTCTTAGGGTCTTTCCTGCTTTGAACAGCTATCCTCAGATCTCAGCCTCCAGAGTAGCTAGGATTATAGACATGAGCCACCGGCGCCCGGCTTTGCTGGGCTTTTCTGTCCAAGGCAGAACTCTACTATTTGAGCCTGAGTCACACCTTCACTTTAGCTTTTTACTTGTTAATCAGAGATAATTTGGGGGATTTTTCTGCCTGGTTTGGCTTCTTTTTTGTTTTATTTATTTAGTTATTTATTTATGGTCTGTTGTGGGGCTTGAACTCTAGGCCTGGGTGCTGTCCCTCAGCTCTGCAGCTCAAGGCTAGTACTCTACCACTTAAGCCACAGTGCCACTTCTGGTTTTCTGTTTGTTAATTGGAGATAAGAGTCTCAGGAACTATCCTGCATGGGCTGGCTTTAAACTGTGATCCTCAGATTTCAGCCTCCTTAGTAGGTATAAGCCACCAGCACCCGGCTGGTCTGGCTTCTTTTGGACTTCAGATTTCAGTCTCCTGAGTAGGTAGGATTACAGGCCTGAACACTGGAAGCCCAGCCCAAACCTAATCAATACATACACACACACACACACACACACACACACACACACACACACACACACACACACACACACACACACACACACTAGATAGGATGAGGATATAGTTATGTACTTTCTAATATAAATACATTTAACTAGATATTTATCCATCTATGTCTATTTTTCCCCTTTGATCTGTGGCTTAGACAGTTTTTCCTAGTTTGAATAAAAGCTGAGAGGAATCTGGGTGCCCATGGCTCACACCTATAATCCTAGCTACTAAGGAGGCTGAGATCTGAGGATCACGGTTCAAAGCCAGCCTGGGCAGGAAAGTCCATGAGACTCTTCAATTAACAATCAGAAAACTAAAAGTGGAGTTGTGGCTAAAAGAGGCTAAAAGTGATAGAATGCTATCCCTGAGCAGAAGAGTTCAGGGACAGTGCCCAGGCCCTGAGTTCAAGCCCCACTACTGACCAAAAACAAACAACAGATTTAAGCAGATGAGGTAGCAATAGGAATTGTAGGTGTTTGCTGAGTAGCCACTTACAATCAAAGTTAGGACTTGCTATCATTGTCCCCGTTAGTCAAGACGACTGTATCTGGGACCCCTTTCCTCTTGGCAATGCTTTCTCATTTAGATTTCAGCTCAAAATGTCATCTTGTATGATACTCCTGTTTACTACCTTATTTATTCCTTTGGAATAACCATATCATGGATTTCATTCTTTTATCACTAATTTCTGCAGAATCCACTTAGTGGCCATGTAGTCATTCCATGTGAAGCGGACGGCAAGTAGACAGATTATCAGAGAAAATTACTGGAAAATATTTAGATGCTTGAAGTATACTTAAAATAAGTTACAATCCCACACTCAACAAGCTTGTAGTTAACAATAAACTAGTCCTTCTACTATCTTAGGTTTGGGCTTGTTTGAAGGGATCTTAAAATCCTGGGGGGGGCTGGGAAGGTGGCTCAGTGGTAGAGCGCTTGCCTTGCATGCCCGAGGCCCTGGGTTCGATTCCTCAGCACCACATAAGCAAAAAGAAAAAAGCCAGAAGTGGTGCTGTGGCTCAAGTGGTAGAGCGCTAGCCTTGAGCTGAAGAGCTGAAGGACAGTGCCCAGGCCCAGAGTTCAGGCCCCACGACCGGACCCCCCCCCCCAAAAAAAAATCCTGGGGCCCAGGGCTGGGAAGGTGGCTCAGTGGCTGAGATCTGAGGATCGTGGTTCAAAGCCAGCTCAGGCAGAAAAAGTTCGTAAGGATCCTTTTTTTTTTTTTTTTGTCGGTCATGGGGCTTGAACTCTGGGCCTGAGTGCTGTCCCTCAGCTTAAGGCTCAAGGCTGGGCTTTATCACTTGAGCTACAGAGCCATTTCTGATTTTTGGTGGTTTATTGGAGTAAA